CTTTGTGTTAGGCCTGTCTTCTAGATAGTTTTAGATAGATTTAATTGACAATTCAACCACAGCTCCCTCTTGTCTGTCTTCCGTGGAGCTCGATGACAGGCTGATGCTACCCTTTTGGTACAGGGTATTAGTTGAGCCGTATCTAGGAATTTTAGCACTTCAAAACGAAAAACGTTTTCCATTTTGGCAACCTGAAAGCGAGGCCGAGCCTGCTTACTTTTCTTTTCGCCTGCTTGTCCTGCTCATTAGCAAACCAGGCAGCGGTGTCTTTTGGCCCATGGCCAACGGCAATGGCAGCGGCAATGGCGATGGTAATGGCAATGGCAGCGGCAACATTGCCGACAGCTGTTAGCCAGTTTTCACCTAATTAAGCAAACAAACGTGTGGGAAATCGACTCCGGAGCCGACGCTACCCCACATACCGCCCCTGCAACGCCCCTGATTACTTTCGCCTTGGGGCTGGGCCAAACTAATTGCCTTGAACATGGGGCTTAAATAGGCTCAAGGAATGCAGCCAAAACATTTGTCTCTAATTGCAGCGCTGCCCAATTGGGCAGGCCAAATTAAATTAAATGCAGCCAACCAAGTCAGGCAAAAATGGGGGGCAAAGTTGGAGCAACGCAGCAACGTGCAACGTGCAACGGCAACTGGCAACGGGCAACGGGTAACCGGCAACGGCAGCAACAACAATTTGTTGCAAAAATACAAATTGGAACATTTTGTAGAAGCTGTGCGCAGGCGCAACGCTGTGAGAATTTATGGCCCTGCCGGGGTCGCTGCCTAGTGGGGATAACATCTGTTGACGCGTCGTGCGCGCAATGCGCATGCAAGGCCCACCACACCAAAGGACATTGACCAGGCAGGGCCATAGCCAAAGCCGCATCCACAGCCACAGTCAGTGGCAATGGCAATGGCATTGGCAGTGGCAGTGGCCAGAGCCAGCCAGCCAAACTGGCAGACAGATAAAACCGTTGCAGAGCGCGAAAGCAGTTGGAAAACCATTAGAAATTGTAAAATAGTTCAGTTAGCCTGCACTGCAGTTTGTACTTGTTCTAGCCATTGCGGTTTTAGCCAAAAGTGATCTTCAAATTCCATTGGCAGCAGATTAAGCAAGCACCAGCGCTACACGGCCCAAGAATTTGAAGTCTTAATTTACAGGACAACAGTGTGGGAAAATCCTTATCAAAAGTTTCCACCACAAATGACCATGCAAATGGGTTTTTACAGTTCCATATAATTCCATTGAATGATCTATAAAATGCAAGTGTTTAACTAGAAAGGCTTAATTGGGAATTTATGCTTCTCCATATTGGCCTGAATTGATTAAAAAATATCTTGCTCTGGGTTTTTACCCAAGCTTCTAATACAATATTTATTTTCAAATCATATTTAAAATATTCTTTTTTATATAATAAATATTGAATTCTAACAGTTTTATCTCTTCCATTTGATGTTTTTTTTTTTTTTTTTTTTCATACCAAATTTAGTATTGTTATTGTTATTAAATTTGTATTTAATTTAATTTTTTTTTTTTTTTGCTTAGATGTTTGCTTAATTTATATAGTATTTTCAAAGTGTTTTATTCTATTAAACTTAATATCTTAATATATTAATAATATATTTTTAATTATATTATTTTTAATTTTATTATTTTTTTTTATAATGTCATATTTCTTTGCTGTCTATATTAGGATTAGATTATTAACTTATATTTAGGTTAATTTTTAAATTTTATTCTCATATAAAATTGGATCATTCGAAAAAGAATCTTTAAGTTTCTTATAGAGTAAGTTGTTCCCAAACCTCGAGAGAATACACAGCGGATGTGAAATTGTATTTATATAAAAATAAAAAAGAATCATAAATAATAATAATAGATCTATTTAGGAAATAATTTCCAACGGCATTGCTCTAATAAATCTCAAAACTTTTACAGTTAATGAATAATTGCATTTGTTTCTTAAGGCAATCGATTGGGTTTTTTTTTTGTTTTTGCGTTAAAGCATGCAACATCTTGTTGCAACCCTGGGCAGAGCGACTTCCGCTGCCAGATCTGGCCAGCAACAGTTGGCAAATGTGCGACCTTTTGGTTTGCTGCGTATTCAATTTGGACCTGGCCAGGCCTGGGATCTTCCTCGTGGCTTCATTGAGGGCGTGCGTGAAAATTGTTTGGCTGCACAAGGAAGGCCGCTGGCTGGGTCTTCCTTTGCAGAAGAGACTCTGGTGCAGGGCAGCCGGGCCACGTTCAGGTCCAGGTCCAGGGGCTCGGGTTCAGGACAACAATCGCAGTAAGTGATTACGTAACCAGTGCATTGTTCTTTGGCTGCGTTTTTATTTCATTGAACAACGCAATAGAGGAGCGTCTGGAGGCCGCTTATCAGCATCAAACGGCGCGAGGAAGCTGCAGCCAGCTAGCCAGCTAGCCAGGCAGGCAGCTAGGCTAGCCTGGCAGAGGCAGAGTCAGGCAGTCAGGCAGCTAGCCAGAAAAATAATTTATTCACAGCCATTATGCGCTGCGAATTTATGCCACTTCCTGGTGGAACAACTACAAATAGCCATTTAAAATGCGATAAAAATAGCGCCAACGGGCGCAAAAGCAAAAGCCAAACGAAGATGCTCTGCACAATGCGCTCGCATCACATCGTATCACACTCAGGCGGGGGGGCGTGGCCAGGGCGTTATGCGGCATTTTGCCGCAATGACTGCCAAGCATGAAACCGTAAAATGGTTTTTCAATAAACAGACCCACAGAACGCTTGGCAGGCTGGTGCCGAGCGAGAAGCTTGATGCCGGCCCAAACAATGCGACAAATATTTGAATATGTTAATTAGTTTAGCAATGTTGCAGACGTTGTTGTTGTTGTCACTGTTGTTGTTGCCCGTTGCCCGTTGCTAGTTGCTTGTTGCTGTTGTTGTTGCATTCAGCTGGGCACGATCAGTTCTATCGGCGGACGTGCATCGGGGCAGTCTAATTTCATGTGTTGCCATCTTGTTAGGACAGTTAGGAGCAGTTAGTGTTGCAGTTGTAGTTGCAGTTGCAGTTGCAGTCGCAGCCAAAGCGTTTTGCATCTTCGCACCACAAGACTAACGAGCTTGAACGCCTGCCAGCCCCACGGTCGCCGCCTGCACTTGCATCGCGATTCATATTTACGAGTATGCCACATTCGAGTTCTGTGCGCATTTTTATGATTGGTATGCACAGGCCAGCCGGGCCGGGATCTTGCATTTCGCATTTCGCTTTTCGCATTTATTGTACCTGGTTGTCATGCCCAGCGGCCAGTGGCCACACACATGCAGCCAGCTACCAATAAAGCTGCCAATGAGCCGAGCTAAAAACAACTGACAGGCCGACAGGCAGCAGCCTTATAAAGTCACAGGCCAGACCAAACAGTCAAGCGACTCAGCATTTTCCCCAATTGCACGCAAAGCTCAGATGGAGATGCTTCGCCTGAGCTGTATGTGGGCGTCTGTATGTGTGTGTGTGCGTGCACGTGCTTTAGTGATGCCAGCTCATGTGGTGTAGCCAAAAAGGCTAATTATATATAAAGTAAATATAAAAACATACTTTCAACAAAACAAGACACAAATATATATGATGAAGGTAAAGCGTATGTTTTTTGTAATAAACATTTTATATATTGAATAAAGAGTAAAGTAAATTATTTAACCATTAATCTTAAGTTAAGCAAAATATATAAAATTAAAAAAACAAAATAAAATAAAATAAAATAAAAAACTTTAAGACTATTAGTATATCATAACAATTTAAAAATGATTAACAAAAATCGTTTTCAACTTTAAAAAAAAGCTAAAATGTCCGAAAAGGCTTCTCCTAAATATATTCTCTTTTATTATAAGCTTGATTTAGCGAAAACTATATAATTAAATCCATAATAAATTCCCGCTAAAAATTTTCAACGAAGACAAGACTTTCAAAGCTAGCATTTCCAAAGGAAACTCTTATTAAAAGGCACGCCATTTTGTTTTTATCGAAAGCCAGATTTAGCGGAAATTGCATGGTTGTGGCTGCACTATTGTGCTTGTCCATTCACCTGTGGCATTCCTTGCGTGCTAAAGCTGTAGGTGTTGCCCGGCACCAGCTGATGGCTTTGACAGCTACTAAATTTAGCTTTAAGAGCGCGAGACGCGCGTTCCTTGTCCAATTTTGGGCAGCAGCCAAATGGTTTGGCCGGCCGGCGCTTATCGTTTGACCATAAATTTATGTACGCCGTTGTTGTTTGCCAAATATTGCCAGCTTGGAGGTCCTAGGCCAATAACTTGTGCCAAGACAACACGCAATGAAGTTGTTTTGACTTTGCCTGCTGCCTGTTGCCTTTAGCCTGTTGCCTGTTGCCGTTGCTATTGCCGTTGCAGGTACTCGTGGAATTTTACGTTGCATAAAATGCAATTAACGGCACTTGTTTGCCATCGCTTGAAATAGTTGTTCCTGTGTTCTGTTGTATTGTCACTCTGAAGCGCGACGCAAATGAACACATATCAATTAGGATAAGAACTAATTAACAGTTTGATTTCATTTACCTATTATATTTTATTGCTTAAAAACTTTTCATAAATTCATTCAGAAAAAAAATTGTGGAATCAAACTCTGGTTTGGATATTTGCTAAAATTTAGTGTTGCCAACCACCAAGTTTAGCGCTGCCAACAAAGCTTCAAGTCGACTACCAGTAGTGGTACCAGTATATAAATATACTCTGAAAGCTATTGTACGCTATTATTTATCATTCAAATAATATGCAGATTTGATGAAAATAATATGGCCATGGTGTACTATATCGGAATGAATTAGAATTAGAATTGAAATGGCGTAACATGCCGATTTCAAATTCACAGTGGCTTAACAGTAGTGTTGCCAGATCTTCAAAACACAGTCTACACTTGCTTTGTGTCTCTCTCACCTGATACACTTATCTCTTCCTGGTTCACATTTCTGGCAATATTTAGGACATTTTTCAAATAGCTGCTGCGCATTATTTAGTGTATTTTATATGTGTATTACAGTGAAAGTGAAACCTGCGCCATAGCAAACAGAAAACACCAGCAGTTTTTTTTTAATATTTAAGAATTAAACATAAAGTATAAATTATCAAGCAAAACAAAATGTGTGGGGGCTTTACCTGCTCGAAAAATGCGCTAATTGCGCTTAACATTCTATATGTGGTAAGTAGCAGGAACAACAAAATGAAACTATGCATTTTCAAAGAAAAAAAAAAAACATTTCTTAGTCTCTATGCTGCAACAATATGTATATATATATTTTTTGTTGTTTCGCATAATTTGTGTACAGATGATTGGTTTCTTACTGATTGGCGTTGGGGTCTATGCTCGAGCGGCCTCCGTTGTCACAAATCTACCAATCGTTGGAGGAATCCTCGCCTGCGGCGTTATACTCATCTGCATATCTATGCTGGGCCTTGCTGGCGCCGTCAAGCATCATCAAGTGATGCTCTTCTTCGTATCCTTTTTACCAACAATAAAAACTATAAGTGTGTATGCGAATGTGCAGGATGTATGCAGTGTGCTCCGACAACCACAAACCTGAAGGTCAATGCATGTCGATGGGACTGACATTGTTCTAACAGCACAACAAATCCTCAACAATTCAAATACATGCATGCATATGAGTATGTGTGTGTACTGGCCTGTATGTGTGTGACGTAGCAGCTGCCGTGAATCAAGCAACTTGACTAATTAGCTTGTCTCTGGCTTCCGTATGTTTGGCAATTGCGTCAGCTGCAGCTTATCTTCCAGGCTGTGCATAATACCAGTATTCACTGATTACTTATTTAATATTTGCGTTTATATTGAGATAACAGTTTCACGACTTGGTTTTGACCTTAACCCAATGCTCTCTCTCCTCAGTACATGATCATTCTGTTCATGCTCTTCCTCATTCAGTTCTCCATTGCCAGCTCGTGCCTGGCCGTCAATTCGATGCAGCAGCAGCAGTTCGCTGAGCATGGCTGGAAGACGGTGCCACCTCAGTTGCGCAAACAAGTGCAGGACAGTTTTCTCTGCTGCGGCTTCAATGGCACCACCACCAGCGTCGCCAACATCAATAGCAACACCAATGACGAGGAACCCAGCTGCGAGATAATTAACCGAGAATGCTGCGTGAATTCGAAGGATCCGCTCTGCCATTGCGAACCCTGCGGCCCCTTGTTGGAGGGTAAAATTGATTATGCATTCAAATTGTGCGGCGGTCTGGGCATCTTCTTCAGCTTCACTGAGGTGAGTGTGACTCGTAGCTATCTTACGTTCGGCCTAATTTATAATCTCTTGCAATTGTATTTTCTCAATGACATGCATTCAGTTCGTTGGTGTTTGGCTAACAGTGCGCTATCGCAATCAAAAGGATCCGCGCGGCTTGCCCAGCGCCTTCCTCTAAATTGCACAACTAACCCATACAAACTTAAAAACAAAAAAACACCCACACACACAAAACAGAAAACAAAATAAACAAAAATAGATGTATTTATTAAAATAATACTAGTTGCAGACGCACAAGCGCTCAAATCGCGTGTGTCGCTGCACTAGAAAGTTGATGTCAATGTAAATGTAAATTTCATGTTCATGCAACAATCGTGGGTCTATTAGATCAAATTTATGGTTAACTGTTCTATTAGACAGCCAACATACGTATACACAGACACACACACACACATCTAATATAGACACATATTTATATTTATATACAAGCATCTCTACCTTATACACATACATAACCGCATGCATAACACAGATACATATATACATTTAAATATATTATTAAAAAACTAAGTACGTAATGCATTAGGCCATACATACATATATACTTACATTTACAACTCTAGTAATACTTCATATACATATATACTTCTATATATATACACATATATATACAAATTAACGCAAGTGTTTTTCGAACTAAACATATATACACACACATCCATATTTCCAACACACACACACACACACTTTTTATAAAATACCTTTTGGCGGCGTAAACTTAAATATCTTAAAGAAAATAAGTTCGGCTAACGCATATGGTGAGACATTCATTCATCTTCTATAAGTACATTCTGAGTTTGATTTCTAATTTCGTTTTATTGTAGTTGAATTGCTTGTAGAGGACATTATCAAAAGAAATTTATTTTAATGCTGAGTACATACCTGGGGATTTATTTCGAAAAAAAATCCGAACTAATATCCATAAATCACGAAGCACATGTTAACTGAAATTATTCTTCGAAATTCGTTTCGCGTAAGACTTAACTACAGTACACTCTACTCTGTCACAACATTTTCTTCATTATTCATCACTGAACTGTTCTAAAGGAAAAGTAATGAAATGATTATATTGTATTATGTTTCATACAAGAATAACTGTTTCGGATTAGACCTTTTGTATAATGAGCCTCTGCAGCAATATTGAAACTTTGGCATTTCAAAGATAACTTGGTTTTTTACATTTGTTTTTATTTTTTATCAAGTTTTTAATTCGGTCTTTTTAAAACAATTTTCCACAGGTCCTGGCTGTTTTTCTCGCGCGTCGCTATCGCAACCAGCACGATCCCTGCTATTTGCCCGCACGCGCCGTTTTTCCACACAACTATCAGTACTGAGTGAAGATGGTGAAGGAGCTGCAAAGAGATCAATGAACCGAGGCGCAGGCAACTTTTAGTCAATGGGAGGAAGGCTGATTTATCACATATTTTATAGAAATCTCCTAGCCTAAACTGAAAATAACGAACATTTCAGAGACATCCTAAATAGGCTTTAGTAAAGGTCTTCGAATAGGTGCATTAGGTGCTTGATTAGTTCCTCGCTTAAATTGTTATGGAGAGATTAAGTATCCCACACTTGAGATTATAATTGGTTTGGTGTTCCATATGAATACAATATTTGTAAATTCTTATATAAATTGTACAATTTTTATTTTTATATATTTTAGTTAGCTTATTATACGTATTTTTAATTTGCAACTGGCAACAATCATAAAACTCAACTCAAACTGCTGTACCACAAAAAGATAAACAAATGAAAGGAAAACCAAATTAAAAGAAAAGAAAAACTATAAGTCATTTCGAACCTGATATAAGTGTAGAACCAAGTCAAATGTAACTAGCAACGGTAACTGTGTTTTCAAAAAAGCGTAACATATACATAAATGCAACTTATATACATCTACATATATAGATATATATATATACATATAAAATATACAATTATTCAGATTGACAACTATAAAATCAAACTATAGATGTTAGATGTGTGTTAAAATTTTGAGATTGCGCTAAAATTGCAACAGAAAAAAAAAAAAAAAAAAAAAACTCCAGATACATGTCAACAAATATTAATGTATTAAATTATCAAACACATTTCCGATGAAAATCTATCCTAAGCTTTGCTTTTCCTCTGTTGCTTGCTTTTCTCATTTTCCTTTACTCTCTGAGGAATATATCAATAAATTTTTCAATTACTCAGCGGCGCCTGCTGCTGCCTCCTTTGACTGCACCCACGCAGGCAATCAGAGAGTGTCTTTCTCTTCTTTTTACACTATATGCAACACATACACACACGCACACCCACACACAGACCACAACCAACATGTTGAAATAGTTTTTCCTCTTGCTTTTCGTTTCGTATTTCCTTTCAAAGCTACAAAGAAACCATTAAATAAAATTTCTCTGTATTCTGTGCTGTGATTGAAGTAAATATGATCTTTAAAAACCAAATAAATCCTCGAGTTTCATTCCCCAATTTATCTTGACTTAATTAAGAACAGACCCGTCTGCCGTTAGTGTACTTCGCGCAAAGTTTCAGCTTTCCAAGTGGATGCTGCGACCATCTTAATTGTTGCTAACGGACCGCACAGTGGATGGTAGTGTTGCAAGGACGCAGGCTTTGAGCTTAACAGCTTAAAGGATCTTTATTCACAAATTAAATGTCTCTAGATAAAGTAGAGTCGTTAGAGTTAGGGAGCTGAGCAATTAAAATGCTAGCAAAATCAATTAATCAAACCTGATGGAGCATCTCAGGTGACAGCCTCAATCGGGCTTAGAAAATATGAATAAATTGCTGTGCTTAATAAATTAAATGAACTAAGTACACTTCTTAAACAGATTTACAGGCATTACAGCTTCAATTAAACAAGGTGCAAATGTTTAAAATGATCAGCTCTCAGTTTATTCCTGTTAGTACTTATGGCTAAATCCATTATGGAAAATAGCCCCACGGTGCGCCTAGCCGCATGCCACAGGCCACATGCCGCCCCCAGAAGATTAACGCACGCAGTTTGTTTGACACCTCCCCGGGGAACCAGTCTGGGTGGCTGGGCGACATCTTTGCAGACTTGAAGGGGATGAAGCATTGGTGCTCCAAACAAAGGCCCAACAAATTTTCGGTTGCCAAATTCGTTTCACTCGAACTTTTGAGCCAACTCAGCTCAAACGAGGCCAAGTTCAACGCACTCGCGCTCAATGGAAATGCGAGAGCGCTCTATTAAAAGAGCATAGAGAAATACATACACAGAGCCAGAGAGCAAGAGAGAGAGAGCGAGAGTGGCGGTCAGAGAGAATGCGAACTGAGTGAGCGCAATTTTGGTGGGCCAAGCAGGAACTGTTTGGGTTATGTAACGGATGCGCAGTCAGGTGGCCAACTAGGGTGGTGTAGACCCAGCACACAAAAAGTGGTTGCGGTGGTAGCGAGCCATGGCATGTGCGTCTCCAGACGAATTTGTTGTTGGCCAACGCAGCGGTCGCCGCTGTTTGGGACAACATGCGACCTAGCACAAGTTCTCGGTGTGTTAGTTTAACGGACAGAACACGACATGCACACTTGCAAGTGCGGATAAGATAATGTATTATGTATAGAATATAAATATATAGAATAGATATAAATATATATGTATATTTATACATTGTACGCCAGGAGACTTGCATGTCCTTTGCGAACCCATGTGTCTCGAATTAAATTGTCTTGCGTTAACAGACTTATGGGTATCGGATTATCAACTGCAGCTGCTCAACAGACCACATTATTGATTTCCATTGAATACACTCTATTGTATGACTACAGGAATAACTCAAAATTGGTATACATATATGTATGTCTATGCTATGCATACATGCTATGCATGACAACAAGCCACACGAATTCCTGCACGAATTTCACTTCTTAAATAATAAATGAAATACCATTAGCTGCCACAATGCTCGAGATCCTTAAAGCGTGTTGCTGGTTTATTACCAGCTTATGCGTAAGATGTTGGCAACGCGACGTGTGAGCAATGCTTTACGTTTTTATTTGATGGTGACACAGCTGACTAATAAACGCTCAGTGGGCGTGGCACTTGTCGGAGCTGCTCAACAACAAAAAAAAAACATAGCAAACAAATTAAGCTAGCAAAACAGAAACGAAACTTGTTTAACTGAACGTGGACTCTGTACTCTGCTCATAATTTAATAGCTCTAGAATATTTTAGACAACAAAATTTAATTATAAGATGAGCACAAAATGTAAGAGCTATGCTTTAAAATGCCTGTATCATAATAGAGAATCACAGAATCGATCCAAACCCATCCATTTCTTGAATACTAAATATGTAATCCTCACAGTCTGCAACATAATATATATCAATGCATCCTCAAGCTGAAACATAGTTTACTTATTACTGATAAGTCAATTAATTCATATAAAGAACTAATTTTGGTAGACTGATTAAGTCTAGTCTGACTGTTTACTTGGCTATCGCACATCTTAATACAACGAAATATATATTCCACTACACTGCCTACCGTCTCTGTCTTAGTATTTCGTCTTTACACAGATTCACGTACATGTATATCTATATAATTAACAGATAAATTCACATCAAGCCCATCGCCTCGTAAATCGTATTTACTCTCCATAACGGTGTCGCCGTCTGTCCGGCAACCTTTGAAGCGTGACAAAAGCGTGGGCGTGGATGTGGACATTCGACTGGGGCAAAGGCAAAGTGAAGAGCAGAATAAAATGAGCAATAAATAAAAATGAGTCTAGGAAAAATTTGAATGTCAATGTCAAATCAAAGTCACACAAATAGTTAACCTGACCAATTATTTCCAATGAATTTTTAATGAAACTGAAAACTAAAAGTGGAAGGTAAGCAAACAAACGAAACACATCAGAGTCTATTATTGTGATCGGTGGCTCAGTAGCTAATATTGAAAATGAGTAAAATAAAGCCACTATTTGAATTTAATTTTCGCCCATATAGTGAATGATTTCTACTTTAGCATCTTAAAAATTAAAATAAAAACTGTTGCACTTAATGCCAAAGATGCAGCTGCCAATCAATCTATTGAAAGGCTCTCTATAACTTAGTTGAAGGCGATATTTGAAGTTGCAACGGTTGGCGATAGTTTATTAGTGCTTTTTATATGCATCCACTGGCATACAATAGAAATAGGTTTCAACGACTCATACTCGGGATTGTAAAAAACCGACACTTGATTCATGTTTTCTTGCAGGTCATACAATATATATGTATGTATTATATTATTATAAACAATTGAATCATGCTCATGAACGATATTACTAAACAATATTTGTTTCTAATTAATTGTATATTCTGTAAACAGAGACAAACAATGTATTATTTCAAACAAGTGCCCAAATACATTAACGAAACGCCAGAGTAAACACGTAAAGGTGCAAGCAATGACTCAAGCATATATACAAAGTATGAATATTAAATTCTCTGGAATGTTTATCGTTTTATTTGAGCAGAGCGCATAAAAAAATACAACCATTTTCTGTTTTATGAGCTGAAAAAAATGTATTTTCATTTAACGAGCGGCCCTGTTTAACTCAACAACGCTTTCAATTATAAGTACTTGAAAAAAATGAAATTACATGGCGTATGCGCAACGCATATTACGCATACGCATCTTGGGCAAGCGGACAAGGGTCAGACTAAACTTAAACGCTTTGGTAGCTTAAAATTTAATTCAATAAGCGCCACATTTGGCGCTTAAATGAAATGCTTTAACGCATTAATGGGACGCTCTAGAATTAGAGAAGGACAGATTTTGCAGAGGAAACAGCCGACTCGCTGCCAGTTGCGCAGCTGTTGCACGCAGCGCTGCGCTGAGTCTGGGCAGCATAGCAACAGCCACACCCCCTTTTCGCCTCAGCTGCAATGTGATAGAAAGCGAGCGAAAACTCTGAGCACAAATCGAGCTCAGAGCATGGCAAAAATAAAATCATTTTGTTTTTCTTTTCTGCGAACATACGTGGTAATTGTCGGCTCGTGTTTGTCGATTACAATTAACTTTTTACTTTAGCGCACGACAATTCAATAATTGAGCTGGCTGGCTTACACGTTGCCAATTGTTTAACATTTGGCGCCGTTTGAGTGAGTTTCATGACAATGAGCTTCCTGTGGAAAGTTGAGTTGAGTTCGCTTCGCAGCAGCAGCGCAGCGCAGCAACTGCGAGCAGCGGGCAGAACATGAGTTTTTACTCGTCCATTCTCACATTCAGTCTACGTTGAACTTCGCGACGCTGCGGACCTCAACGCCTCTGCAGAGTGTACTAGTGAGCGTGTGTGTGCTTACCCTACTGAGTGCGACAGAGACACAGATACACAGAAAGAAGGCGAGCAACCGTTACGTTGTGCTTGTTACACGTGAGTCGCAGCAGACAGGCAGATAAACAAAGCAGCAGCAAAAGCGCAAGGAAAACGGGACACGCTGCTAAAAGTCAAATTACGCGCGTTTTTCGCCGCAGTCAACTCGAACAAAAGCAAAACTTTTACCTTTACGTAAGTGCAAAACATTGTAGTGTTTACATCCTTCTATTTTATTTTTATTTTGGGATATTCACACTTTCCAGCTACCAGTATTTATTTGGCCCAACACACAACAATATGTATTCGTCACTTTGTTTGATTTACGATTGAAGTTTTCACGTAAGAAAATCAATAGTTCGTTATCCTGCCAAAGGTTAGTTTCTATGGTATACTACATAGATATGTGGGCTACTCATTATTGGGGGCCAGCAGCAGCAATGAGCTCTCCTCCTTATAATACTAATTGAAAAAGTTTTTCTGCTCAATGCTTCAATGTGCGCCTATGCAGCAACAACAAATGGAGAAATTTGCATTTGTTGATGACTCTGCAAATGTTCATTGAACGGTTCAGCAAACTTTTTCAAGGCTACTCGCCTTTATTGGGTCACCCAGCCAAAGGCTTGCAAAGAAAGGACCCTTTGGTGCACCATCAGCAGTTGTGCGTATGTGTTAGGAATAATATGGCTCAAATTACATTATGAATGCGCTCACGTTGCCAAGCGCATAATTAAGTCAGAATATTGATTAGGCTTCTACTACTTCTAATTAAAAATGTCAGATATTACAAAAATATGTTGTGAGTCCTGCTGGTTCGCTGGGTAAAGAAAATCTAAGAGGGGAAAGCTTAAATCAGGTCATTTAGAGATATTATCTATAAAAAAAATTAAGAAACACTTCAAAGTATGCTATGTTTATTGGCCATATCCTAAAATGCCTTGGCATTGCCAGCATTTCGTTTGATTAAGTAGGCGAAAAGCCGTCAGTCAATGACACCCAATTTCCTGCTTCACTTCAGCTGTCATCAGCCGTTAATTGTAGCCTTGAACTTTGGCACTATAAGGCTCAGCACTGACAGCCGCTGCGATGGGAAATCATAACAACTAGTTGAATACCCTGCAGATTAAAGACTGAATCTATAATCATATAATCTTAAAAGAAGTATGTACCAGGCTCTTTTTACTGGCTTTACAGGGTATATGAGCTCTCTTGGCACTCTGAAACTGCTGCCACTGTGCCTATGGCCTAAGCAAAAGTTTATTCAGGCATCTGTGCTTATGCTCTACAGTGTATAACTGCTCTCTATATAAAACTGTTGCCCAACTTTAAGCGCGTGAGTCGCACGGCTTAATGATAAAGTTTTCGCTGGCATACAATGTACGTCTTCAATCTAGCAGAATCGTGTTTGCGCAGGCAGTGCCACAGAATAAAGCTGCTGAGTGTGATTACCCTCAATGGACGGGCCGAGGGACCCGTAAGTCCGGCAAGGCGCGAGTAACTGGCGCAGCAGCTGTAGTTATTTTCAAGGACTTTACTCCTGTGCTGGCAGCTGTGGTCAGACGCCTGCCACTCAAACAAACAAACAAGCAAACACACACACACTCACATACACACACACTTGTACACACGCGGCTGGTCTTCGTAGTCCTTTGTTGCGCGTGACGTTTTGCATCGTTGGTTTTTAATTAAAAGCTGTCAAAACGGTCGTCGCTTTGCCCTGGCCCTAAGCAAAGCTCATTAAGTTTATTTATTCCTTTTTTTTCGCCAAGCCCTTAGTTTTTTGCACTCACACATAAAGCACTCAAAAAGTTTTCCTCTGCTTTACTTTCTATTTCCAGCGCCCACCGCAAGATGTCGCTGCTAACAGCCAATAGTCACTCGCTGTCCGAGGAGGAGCTCGATGAGTGAGTGTGCAAATCTGAATATATATCATATCTAACTTAGACTAGAACTTGCAGCGATCAAATTAAATTGCATGCCACGAACTTGATTTACTCAATTTACGGAGAACACGAAACCAGCGAAACAATAGCAGCATCAATGTCTTAGTTATACGCAAACAATGTGCACTTTGAACTTTTGCGTTAGCTTTTAACGGTGGAGGCCCAGCTGCAGCTAAAGTTTCCCCAAGTTGCTTCTTAGTTGCAAAGACAGAGTGCCGCTGAAAGATAAGAAAGATAAGAAGGACGCCTTTAAACTCCATAGCACACTTCTCAGTGTCGGCCAGGCGAATCGGGTTAAATGCTTAACCCAATTATCTCAACAGCTGCCTGACGTACACATCGAGTCGATGTCTAAAAATACGCATGCCGCAAAACAGGTCGCTCCAATATTGTCAGCAATTATTGCTGGGGGTTTGCAAATGTCTGTCTGTGTATATGGGTGGGTGTATGGATGTGTGTGTGTGTGTGTGTGTGTATATATGTGTGTCAGTGGAGCCGAGTGCGTGGGAAGTGTCGAACAAGCATTGATAATCAAATATTGCGTCGCCTGTAGGCTACACACACAATGGCGCAGACATTGCTCATACGCACAGTAGCCCGCAACTGATTAGAAATTTGAGTGTGCGACTATACACTACCCTGTGCAAACAATTACAACACTAATTAAGTTGGTATATTACGGAAGCAAATGAATTATTAATTAATCTATATAATATTGACTTTTATTTGATTGACAATATTATCGAAATCGGATAATTTAATTATATGTTATATACATCTATTAGCACAACTCATCATGCCCCATTCTGTGTGTATTTCTATTATGTCTAAGAATAGCAACATCAATGACAATGCACATATCACTGCGCCTAGGCTCGTAATATAATTTGGGCAATATTGATTGGCCGTTTGGTGGAGTATTTGAATTTTGACCACGTTCCGACAGGCCGAACTTAATTCTATTTTCGATTTGACATCAGTGACGCGTGAATAATACAGAATTTGGTTGACAGGATTACGACGTGCCCCTGACATTTGTTACCCCTGGCTCTACGTATTGACTTTCAGCTCCTCTAACTGCCACTGACATGATACATACTTGCATATAATCGTTTTAGCCAGTGTGTTTGTCAATTTTTATTGCTTTTTCGTTCCTCGTTTTCGTCTCTTTTTTGATATTTTTATCAAATGTTCACACACCTTTCCTTTCAACTTTGACCTTAAGCAAGCCTTTGCTTACATAAAGCAAGGAATTTACATTGCATTTGCAAGCCAAGCTACCAAGGGTTGGTGAAGGTGCGATTTCATTTATTCAGATATTTAAGATTTTGGGATGAGCTAAGAATAATAAAATAGTAAGAATTTTCCTACTTAAAGTAGCTAAAGTATGAATACTATAACCATATATAACAGTTTTTGTTTTTTTATAATATAGTTTTATTGCAGCTTTTGTCTTAAACTCTATAGCGCATTTATAAGGATACCTTAACTAATGAAGTGGCTAATTGCCTTTATTACTACGAATTACGTTTACTAATTTAGGTCACTTCTCGGGTCCAGGGGGTGTGATCTTTTCAGCCTTCTGTTGATGGTGTTGGTGGATAAATTGGCTGCAAGCTGGTTTGGGTGGGCGATATATAACAGGTATTTCCATTTCTCAGATCAATAATTCTCTCATCCTAAAAGTATGCCACGGTAATTCACTTCAGCTGTTGCCTTCTTTGCTTCCACCTGTTTTGGCAATCACAATGCTATGGCCCTTTGTCCATTTTCCGTTTGCATTAAGAGCTTTTGCTGCCGCTTCTTCAGCGTCGTGGAGCATCGTCTGTATCATTTATTAAATGTAATGCGGACAATGTGATTTATGGCATGTAAACGGCAGTTACATAAGCCCCATAGAATGTAATGCCAAATGAGAGCTCAAGCGAACTGGCAAAGGCTTTCATTTTTATTCAGCCAAGTCGTGATAAATTTGATTTTTATTATCAATGTCAGCTGGCCCAGTGGGCGTGGGTGGCAAATGCAGCAAGTGCTCATATGAATGTGCATGTATACGTATATATATATATGTGTGTGTGTGCATGGAAACTATGTACTCCGACGCATACGATTCAAGGCCACGACTATCGAGCGTTCTGTTGACAGCTTGCACAGAAATTGCAGTGCACTTATGAGACCCAGTGGCTCAACGGCTCCAAGGAACTGCAGCCAGTCAGCAGCTCAAACAATGCAAACGGCCATTAAATACCAATTACGCACTCTATCGAGGGGAAAAGAAAGTGCTTGAGCCGCTTTGTACACGCGACAGTAAAAGTTAACTTTTCTCTTTTTCGTACGGCTCTCGTAATGCCATATAATTTTTGTTAATTGTCTTCACTCTTTGCTCTGCTTGGCTTTTCCAAATGAATCTTCAGAAATTGTACACTTGTTGCAGCATATGAAGAGTTTAGAGGAAAGGCAATACTAGAGAATTTCAGAGTGAGTTGAGTAGCTTAGATATTTTATAGTACCCCTTAATCTCAATCAGTCAGCTCAGTCAGCTAAAGCCCTTATTTAGTCTTTTCGAACAGTGAATGTGGTTGTTATCTTAAAGTACCGCAGCAACACTGAATCGATTTAAATGTAAATACTCAAAAGCAAATATCAATTGCCCAACTGGACTTATTGAGCGACCTCGAACTGTGGTCGCGAGACGAAGCACGTAGCTGTGGCAGCTCCACTTTACCAGATGCTATGACTAACTCTTACGCACACACACCTGCTCTCTCCCTCTCCCTCTCTCCTTCTTTCTCTCCGTTTCCAGCTAACAGTATGGTCGAGCCCCCTTTTGCTGCTCATTGACTAAGTTTTTGCTGTTGCTTCTGTTAAACACATTTATTTCTTTTTTTTTTTCGTTTCGCCTGTGTTTATGTATTCGTATTTCACTTCGAGTTTGGCATAGTCTTGTGTACACATGTATGTATGTATATATGTTTGTATATATAAACAAGTATATGGGCTTTTAAGCTGACTTAAGAAATAAATAAAAGCCACAAGCGATGACGCAGACTTTAATGGTTTTGGAATTTACTATAAAAAAAAAAATAAAAAATAAAAAAAAATAGTTGGCATTTAGTGATAGCAAATAAACAGTGGACTACATAGCTTCAGACAGGGCGCTCTAAAAATTAAGCCAAAAATGAATATATAAAATAAAAGAGTGCGATTTGCCAAAATGCTAACAACGAAATTTATTCGAATATTATATTTATGCAAATCATGTTTAATTTTCGGCAACTCTTTGCCAAATATCAAAGTTGAATATGCTTATTTAATTTGAATTCTGCGACCGGTTCAAATACGCTATAAGATTGATTTAAAAAAATTCTATTAGCATACACATAAATATTTAGATTATGGCCCTCATTAGGGTGGCATAAGTGTAGACACCCTGTATTATTCTGAATGTATGCGCAGCACTCAACTTTAATTGCAATTGAATTGTGTAATGGCAATTGCATTGTACACGGTAAATTACGCAAAAGAGTTATGCATGTGTGCTAATCTAGTTTAAACTACTATCAATTGCACATAAGATGAGATATGTGTAAGCATAGTCTGTTCTTATCAGACAATGTGTATGGTGACAAAAAAAAATTTTAAATGACATTTATTACACACATAAAAGACGTATGTGCTATTTTATATTTACATATTTGTATAAAAAATTGCGCTGTTAGTTTGACATATGAACTTCCGTTAGGCTCTTATCATTGGACTCGTACATCCCCACTAAGTAAACCTGCAAACAGCGCCGTTGACAGCCGACGCGTCCAGCCGCTTAACATGCCTATGTCTACATTAACAGCGAGACAGTCGCAACCGGTAGCTCTCTGTTAAGTCTTACATGGCATTGCTGTTCGTCGCCTATAAAGAGCCTGACGCGCCACACAAGAGGTTTTAGTTGTTCAGAGAGCCTGAGCGTGCACAATACGATTAGTGTTGCTGCTCTACGTGTAATTTTTCTGTTTTTGTTTGAGTGAGTTCGCGGGCAAAACTTTGGCAGCTGTCATTAACGGTAGTTAGAAGATTGATTAGTCAGGACAATTTAAGGACACAGACAGAGGCTGACATCATGCCACCCACCATAACTGAGCATGAATTTAAGGCGCATTGCCGCACAACACCGCAGGACGATGATAAGGACGAAACGGACTTGCATCTGTATCGTATAACGAGGTAAGAAAACAAGATTCCAACAAACCGGCTAACAAGGAATTCAGATAGGCAGATGCCAAATCCAATGCCAATACCAATGCGAATACGAATGCGAATGCCGGGGGTTGAAATATGTTGTTATTATTAAATTTGGCGGGCTGCCATTTGGTTGTGTCAAAGGTGAATGATTCACCGAAGCGATCCGCAGCTGAAATTCACGTGAAGATGGCCACAGCTGGGGCCAATTTCACAAATATATCAGAAATTTGTAAGATAGCTGAGTTGGCAGCTGACGCAAAAGTCTGCGTGGTTAGCAGAGCAACAAATAAACGAAGCAAAACAAACGCGAAAGACAAAGAGAGCCGCGTGAGTAAAGGAAAACGACGTGATAAAAACGAAAAACGAAAGAGATTACAGAAGCACTTGATCAAATTAATGAATGTGCACACAAACAAACATTTATTATTACGGTGGGTGTGTCGCCCATTTACCCGGATCGAAACCAAGACCTAGACCTTTTAATGCTCTGTTATTTGAACTTGGTAATCGTTGCGATATAATTAATTTTTTTAATAAAATACTAATTTTGCTGATAACCTAGCGTCTCTCGATTCTAATACATTCACACTATATAGCTAGTAAAAAAGATCAGATGTTTAATTAAAGACCTAATCATTTTTCAAGTTTTGCTATCAAGCAAGGTCAGCGTAGTACACATATATATGTATGTATGTATGTATTTGCATAAGGGAAATATGTGAATAGGAATACGTTTCAAAACATAAATAAATCAAGATTTCAGCTCTATTTTTGTGCTGCGGTGACTGTTTGACGTATGTACTTGATAGGGCTAATCAAATGACGTTTACCGTTTTGGCACTATGATTTGACGAAGGCCAATGACCATTAGCTATATTAGTTATTGGCTCATTGGCTTCATATCAATTTACATGGAGTTTGTGTACCTATTTATACCATATAATATTATTCAGCTAGCTACACGAATCGGGCATTGATTGTTTGCTTTGTTAATAAATGAGAATGATATATCTTATTCATTCATGTTTTTTGTTTTTTAACATTGCTGTATAGCCATAAAACAGCATTTATGTTGTTTACATTTCTGTCATACAACATCGAACTTCAACATGTATGAGTGATCGAGCAACTAGCTTTTGTAATGCACAAATGATGTGCAAATGCCACAGAGCATAATTGAAACTTTTTCAGCACTGTCATTTAAGCCTGACGCGCGATCTTTAAAAATAATATGTACATTATTTGTATGTTAAATTAGTTGATGAGAATTTTATTATTTTTACCAACGATTATGCAGTCATATCGAATATATACACATATATATATATATGTATGGACTAAGTGACAAAGAAGCTTACAATTTAATTCTGCTGAAATTTGTGACAGAGATTCATTAAAAAACATTCAGCAACTAGCAACTGTTTATTGCCCACAAAGACTCTAATTACTTTTATATACGTGTTATAATTAATCAACTGTAATAGCATGTGTTTCATTGAATGCAAACTAAGCAAATAGTTTGCAATCTCGGCTAACATTGTACATAATAGAATCACATTCATTAGCAATCATCTGTATTACGGCAGTTATTGAAAAGTGCAAGCATTTGCAGTTCTTAAAATCTACAATTCTCGGAAATTGAAATCTTATCGGAGCACCGACAGCTTTTAGTTTCCGTCTGTTTCAGTTTGTTGCTGCACTTTATTAATACTTGATAATTATTAATTGCGCCTATTTTTTAGACTATTTACCTAATTTACTTCCTAGTCTGGAATATAATCAATATATTTCTTAATTACTTCAGATACTCCGATGGCACCGTTAAATTACGTAACTCTAACATTGAACTTATGGATCAGGACATATTATATCACTTGGCTCTTGGCAGTGAGAGTCATGATTTACAGGAGATGTTTGGCGATGTTAAGGTGAGTCCGATTATGTTTGAAAGCTCCAACTATAAAGAGCGTAAGCCGACATGGATCGACCTGTACGATAGAATCTAAACTCTAATACTCTATATGCAATCTGATATGCGTCAATGCTAGTCAAGGTTAACATTGTTTAGCTTGGTATTTATAGACCAAGTTAAGAATACTTTGCATTCCGAATACGGTAATTTACGATCAGATCGATTATCAAGTCAGATCAGATATCGTGAGAGCTAAAAAACTAGTTTGGCGGCCATACAGTCTTTACTTCATACGTCCCTGATCATGAAAATTTAACTAATTTTATTTATATATAATTTATTTATTCATTTAAAACCAGTTCGTTTGCATGGGCGGCACACCAAAGCGCATGGAGAACTTTGCACACTTCATTATGGATGAAATTGGCTACAAGCTGCCCGCTGGCACCCAGCTGCAGGATATTAGCGCCTATTCGTATCGCTATTCGATGTACAAAGTTGGTCCCGTATTGAGCGTCAGCCACGGCATGGGCACGCCCTCGGTTAGCATACTGATGCACGAGATGATCAAGCTGATGTACCATGCCAAATGCATCGATCCCATCTTCATACGCATTGGCACCTGTGGCGGCATCGGAGTTGAGGGCGGCACCGTAATCATCACAGAGGATGCCTTGGACGGCCAGCTGCGTAACTCGCACGAGTTTGTAAGTAAATGCGATAGACTTTAGATTCTGTAACTGATTTGTATTTTCTTATTTCGACAGACGATCCTGGGCGAGACCATACATCGGCCGGCTAAGTTGGATAAGAAGCTGGCACGAGAGCTGAAGTCGCTGGCAAGTGCCGATGATCCCTATGACACCATCATTGGCAAGACGCTGTGCACAAACGACTTCTACGAGGGCCAAGGACGGCTGGATGGCGCCTTCTGTGAGTTCACCGAAACCGACAAGATGAACTATCTGGAGAAGCTGCGGGATAACGGTGTTGTCAACATCGAAATGGAGAGCACAATCTTCGCAGCACTCACACATCATGCTGGCATCAAGGCGGCAGTTGTGTGCGTTGCCCTGCTGAATCGCCTCAATGGTGACCAGGTGAATGCGCCCAAGGAGGTGATGCACGAGTGGCAACAGCGTCCCCAGATCCTAGTGTCCAGGTATATACGCAAGGTGCTGGCACAGCATGGCCAGCTGAAATCGCTCTTCGGGCATCAAGGGTCCATCAAGTCGCCTAGGCGATTTAAGCTGGTCCAGCAGGAATCTCAGGCCCACGACTAAAGCCAGCAACCAAATGCACACGATCATAGCATATACATATATCTATATATGATATTTTGATTTCAAGTTACCTTTGGCTAAATGCCAACCCAACTCGCATGTATACAACTTATTTTTGAAATATTGCTTTAAACATTCCATAGTTTAGTTCAGTCTAAGTTATAAGTTCTAAGCTCTTATTTTCCTATGTATCCATGTCAGTGTTATACTTATATAAATATATAAATACATATGTATTATATATATATTTCCTCATTAGCTTATTTAAACTCAAACGTATTGCACGTATTGGCGGCGTAACGCCGAATGCTGAAACAACTAATCGCAAATAAATATAAAAATTAAAGTAACACAATGAACAAATGAATATCTTCGGCTTGCCTAAGATAAAATATCCTTGTAGACAATTTACAGATAAATTATGAGTAGAAAAGAATATATATTTTAAAATACGAATACATAATGGTTTCCATGCTAAACTTAATTTCTTAATTGTCCGATATCGGAAGTCAAAATATTGTCTCGATTTCATTACACTTCATATGATATAGCTAAATGATTCAGCTCATGTATCATATGCAGATCAGTTTAGCTCAACTTAACAAAATTACCTTCGTACGCACCAACCTCTACAAGGTTATAAAAATGTACTCAATGTAAAGTGTTTCAAAATACAAAACTCTTTCAAATTATTGTTGATTGCATCGATGTTTGCAAAGTACATTTCAATAATGAACTAAACGAAAACAATACAAAAAAAAATTCAAATATATAACGTTGTTAATTGTTATGTTGCATAATCGAAATGAGGCAAACCAAATATTATTATATACGATGTATGTGTGTACTTCAGATCATAATATAAGATTTCTTAAATTATTCTATTATACATATTGTACTGTAATTCCAAAACATTTGTTATGCGCATTCGCAAATTAATGTTGTTAATCACGAAGCTATATTAACAATCGTTACTCTTATTCAATTCTAAACTAAACAAAAAAGAATCAAATTATACACGTGAAAAAATACATAAAGAACAACAGCTGAATAATACTCCACTCGTATTACGTACTTTATTTTGAAGTTTACTTTGGAATGTTTTGATGCTATCTACAGACGTATCAAATTTTCAGCATGGACAAGAAGTGGAGCGAAACGACCACGAAATACTCCATTTGCAGTTCAGGGAGTCAGCTGTGATCTCCGAACAAGGCGTGGCAGTCAAAATGAAAAATATCCCTCATGGCGTGAATTGATATACATTGATACATATAGAGATTTTTATTAAATACTATAAGAGATCAACATCAAGCTGTAAAATATGTAGTATGATATATACATACATATATATATGCCTGTATATGAGCAGCATTTACATGCTGCAATATATGAGAACCCGAGCAAATACGAAGTGCTTCATATTGATTGTACGGAGCTTTTAGAGTAGTGAAAAGCTCTCGAGTTGTATGTTTATTCACCCTCAGAGCATTTAGTCGATGACAAGTGTTGATCGCGATCGGAACACGCTGTGGAAAATTTATTTATTGGACAAATTTAATTTGTTATTGAATTATTTACTTGTATGTGTACTCGTGCTTAAATGAAAATTAAACAGCACCCGTATCATAATATTTATATTTCTCAGCGTGCTCAATACGCCTAAGACAACAAGTTTTAATCTATATAAGAATGATATGCACATCGAAGTCCCATTTGAATGAAATGCATTGTTGCCATACCCTGAACACATCGAAAATGGAAAATGCCTGTAACAGGCAGCAGGAGGCGTGGCAGAATCAACTCTTCGCAAGGCTCAGGATATTTCCTAGTTGAGCCATAAATAGCTGATGTGGAACTCAAACATTTCGAAAATCTGTCGTGTAGTGCTCAAGACCTTGCTGAATTCTTTTAAGATTAGCTATAAACTGATAATGATTTTCTTAGAATTATTTTCTTTCAGTCGTTATCTTGCCCCTACCATAACCGTTTTCCGCCTTGCAAAATGTCGGTGTAAGTAAAGCTGCAATTATGAAAACTTTTAATCATGCTCATACAATATTTATATTGTATCCTACAGCTCCAAGCTGAATAATCCTCACTTAGATACAATGACCTCTGATTTTCTATATCATTTGAACATTAATGTGGCCTGTAGCCAGAACGCCGCCGATATTGAGAACCAATTTGGCGACATTAGGGTGAGTAAACTAGGCGAGCATTGTAATCAAATATATTCGAGATTGACTCTCACTACAGGTTATATGCACAGGAGGCACTCAAAAACGCATGAAAGAATTGGCGATATATTTGCGGCCTATACTTGGAATAGCTGATAATAGAGAGCCGGTCGATCTATGCGAGAGCGGTCAGCGCTATGCTGTCTACAAGGTGGGACCGGTTCTGTGTGCCAGCCATGGCGTTGGCTCCTCAACGTTCTCGGTGGTGCTGCACGAGCTGCTGAAGCTGGTCAGGTATGCCAAGTGCAAAGACGTCGTATTTTTGCGCATTGGCACATGCGGCGGCGTGGGCGTGGAGCCGGGCACAGTCATTGTCACTGAAAAGGCCTATAATGGTTGCTTAGAGAACGTGCATGAAATCGTAAGTCACCCAATTACACTACACAACACAGTTGTCATAGTGCATTCCATTGCATGCTAAAAGCATCCAATCATATTCATGAAGACAAAGGAGCAACCCACTCTTTGAGCATAACAGAAAAGTAACTGATGCTCCGTTCTAGGATCAGCAAAAGTGAGTGCTTTCAGCATATGTCGAGCAGTTGGTTTTAAAAGGAACACAATACAATTATACAATACAGACTATAAGACAGAATTGCTTTAACTTTTATCTAATCTAATCGAATTGAACCCAAACTAATTTATAATATGTTTTATGTTTTATGGTTAGCCCATTTTGGGAAGGCGTGTGGTGCGACCCGCTTTTTTTGCACAGGATGTTGTCGAAGGCATTTTATGTGTTGGCAATCAACCCAATGATGTCTTCAAAACCATAAAAGCGAATACGATGTCAACAGACTGCTTCTATGAGGGTATTTTATATACAGTTTTTTAAAATTGACCTACATCTACCTAAGCATGCTTTAATCAGGTCAAGGACGCACCGATGGCGCTGTGTGTGAATATTCCGAAGACGATAAAATGAAGTTCCTGCAGAAAGCGCACGATCTGGGCATTCGTAATATCGAAATGGAGGCCACCATGTTTTCCTCGCTGACTAGAAAGGCGGATGTAAAGGCTGGCTGCATTTGCGTAACATTAATCAATCGACTGAAGGGCGATCAGGTGGATATTATGCACATATGTATTTAATCTAATCTAATTTTCCAACATGCTGAGGAAAGGGTTTCATACTTATCTCAAATAATATGAGACTTCTTTGATGGCCAAGTTTGATGCCTTCATTCGATTTCTATATATGACTTGATATTTATATATATTATCTATTATTTTTATTTTTTTTTATGTTTAGGTGACCATTACAATGGAGCAAAAACATGAATTTGAGCAACGTCCCTTTATAATTGTTGGGCGCTACATTAGCCATCTGCTAAAATAGGACTGAATATAATATTTTTACTATTGAATATTAGATTAAATAAAAGATCGTTGAAGCTTTTCGAGGAAATGACTTTTTTGGGATCTAAGTAATAGGGAAATCATTCAAATATTTAAATTAATGTAAACTGCTCCAAATTCTGATTATTGGCAAAACTTAAAATTCAAAAAAAAAAATCACTCGATCATTGGTAAAAATGGGGGACAAATGTGAAGCGAACATGCACAAGAATGTCTGCGATCTAAAAGGTGGGTATAGGCCGTTATCCCTTGATCCCTACTCATAATGCAGCTCTGCAGCAATGGTTAACGCACAGAATAAGCGAATCGATGAGCTCATCAGGTTCATCAAGGAAGGTAGCAAAACCGATATTCCGCAGGAAATGACTTGGTGCACATGCAACTTGAACCCGTATCTTGAGTGCCTCAATCCGGATATCCTTTACCATCTCAACTTGGATACCAAGACCACCGATTTTCCAAAGGTCTTTGGTGATGTGCGCGTAAGCTGCTGAAATCTTACTTAATCGAATTGCGCCTCAACTGACGGTCGACTGCCATGCCCACAGTTCGTGTGCCTGGGCGGCACGGGAGCCCGTATGGAGAAGTTTGCCAATTTCATCATAAGTGAGATTGGCCTTAAGCTGAGCATGGCCGTCGAGCTGAGAAATATTTCCGCGGACGGCCACCGATACGCGCTCTTCAAGGTGGGTCCTGTGCTGTGCGCTAGCCACGGCATTGGCGGCCCCTCAATCAGCATAGTGTTGCACGAGCTGATCAAGCTTGTCCACCATGCAAAGTGCCAGGATCCAATCTTCTTTCGCATGGGCACCTGCGGAGGCATCGGCGTGGAGCCCGGAACCCTGGTGATCACATCGCAGCCACTGGATGGCCAATTGCGGCCCGTATACGAAGTGGTCGTGCACACACAGCCGCAGCTACGGCCAGCCTTACTGGACCAGGCCTTGGCCAAGGAACTTATAGCCCTATCCAATCCCTGTGAAGATGGCTATGATACCATATTGGGGAAGACACTCTGCGCCAACGACTTCTACGAGGGACAATCACGGCTGGACGGTGCCTTTTGCGGATACAATCCACAAAAGAAGATGTGTTTTCTGCAGCAAATCTCCCAAATGGGCGTTGTCAACATGGAAATGGAGAGCACCGCATTCGCAGCTCTCACAAACCAAGCGGGCATACGTGCCGCCGTGATTTGTGTGGCCATCATTAATCGCATGGAAGGCGACCAGGTGGGTGCACACAGCAGCTCGGTTATAGCAAATCTTCGACTACTTGATATCCCCCATAGATTAATTCGCCAGAATGCGTCCTAAAGGATTTCGACCAGAGGGCACAAATCCTAATTGCCCGCTATATGCGAAAGGTTCTCTTCAAATGTGACGAAAATAACGTAGAGACCTGCCACTGCGATGATGCCCCTGGATGTCCCTGATATCACTGTTAAATTACTTGTTTCTATATATTGTCTTTAAAGAGTGTTTTTGGAAAATACATTTTCGATTTAGCAGTCGAGTACCAAGTATTCAATCAAGCATATATTTACATACATATAAAATGGTTCGTATTGCTTTTTCTTATACGTTCGTATACTTGTATATGTAAAGTATAGTATATGTATATACAGATATGAAAACACTTATATTCCCGTCTATTGGCAACAGCCAATCAGCTCATAAATAAATAAGTTCTGCTCAACCCCACTTTAAAGTAAATTTAGGTAGGAATAACAAAGTTGCTTCAACAATAATCAGCAGCTACACTCATTCACTGATAAATGTTATCAGTACATCTGTAAAAAGAACTAACGACTTGAATGCGTTTTTATATCAGTAAATATGTTCGTATGCTACTTCAACCCTTCTTAATAAACAATGATTTCATACAATATTTTCAATATATTTTTTAATTTTCATAAGTCAATATACTTTAACCTAGTCTGTAAAGAAAAGTCATTTGATCAACTTAGTCTTTTTTATATTTCCATCTGAAATATCTCCTGGTTTTTGCATTCCCCACATATAGGACATCTTGGGACTAAAGGAATAACAATATCAATTGCTAATAAACGTTTTTTGCAATTAGCCTTGTATAAATATGTATGTTTTGTTTACAATTCTTTTTGTTGCTGATAGAAGGTGCGAAAAAATAATGTATGTATGTTGTAGCATTAAGATCTCAGATTGTACAAGCCCCCTTAGCAAATATAAATAAATGATTTTTGTTACTGTAGCTCCTGTATTAGGAGCTTGTTGTTTGTGGAACCTGAACAAGTGCTCTGGGGCAGACGCAGCTGGCTCTGTGCCGAGGCCACCTTCTGCATCATGTGTTGCATCTGCTGCTTCTGCGCGTTGGCAATGGAGTTTGTGTTTTTCAATGTGCCACCCAGGGCTTCTGCAGCAGTAGCTATTTTACTTTTAATCACACGATTCGGCTTGACCAGCTCGGCCAGGTCATAGTCCTTGGGCAGCTTAACAGGCTCCACAGTTGCTGGCTTTGGAGTTGCTGGCTTTGGAATAGCTGGCTTTGGAGTAGCTGGTTTTTTTGGTTTCTTGGTAGTTGGAGCTGTATCCGATGGAAGCTCCTCAATGATCATGCGTGTAGCATGCGCGGGAGCCAGCTCGCCCACCTGTTGACGCAATTGCTCCAAAGATTTCTTCGCACTTGCATTATTGGGCTCCAGTTCCAATACACGTTGATAGATGCCATATGACTAGCAGTAGATCAATTCGAATATATTTTCAATAGATTATCCCGTTTGCTACTTTACCACTTACCTCACGACGATATCCCTGGTTGTAGTTGGCATCTGCCAGACGCAGAAGCGCCTTCACATTGTCTGGCTCGAGCCGAAGACATGCTTCACAGTCCTTTATGGCTAGTAAATAGTTATTTAGCTTTAGATCTGCAGGACGAATGAGAGCATAGATATTTGAAATGGGTATGAGAACTTTCCTTCGATTACTCACACGAGATGGCGCGGTTGTTATAGGAGCGTGCAGCCTGCGCCGGATCGAAAGTTATAGCACGAGTGTACTCCCTAACGGCATTCTCATATTCCTTGGCCTTAAAGTACTCGTTACCGCGCAAGCGAAATCTGTTTCAAATAATGCTATTATAATGTATATCAATAAGAAAGAGATTGTTCTGCTCACTTCTCGGCATATTGCTCGCGTTCGACCTGACTTAGTTTCGCGATTTGTGCGTTCAGACGCTGCTGCTCAGTGATCTCCTCACTAATCTCCAGCTGGTCCTCTTTTTTGGTGTTAATAATATTTTTGAGCTTTATTTGTGCCTGCTCCTTTTCGCGTTCCTGTTCCAAGTCCATACGCAGTATTTCCTCATCCGGATCGTACTTGTCCCATTTGCTGTAATCTGTCGACTTGATGCGCTGTTCATTCGTTGATTTCGGTTGCGGCTTTGCGCTTGGCTTATGCGCCGGTTTATTCTTAGATGTCTCAGTTTCATCCTTGTCAATATCTATTTTGGTAGTCTTTCGCACGGGTGGCAGATCCAGCGCCTGAACAGTATCTTCCTCCTTGAGCTCACTTAATACATTGTCCTTGTTCTTAATTTCATTCGTCCAGTCCTAATAGTAAGTATGAAGGTAAATTGAATGGCTAATAATCATCTCTATGTACATACATATATGGGTTTTAATTCGTGCTTGGCTAACACGTTGCTTTGTTGTATTTTCTCCTCGGTGCGAAACAATTTGCTATCCGGCTTGAGTTTTTTAAGCTTCTCCTCGGCACAGCGCGTCAAGTCTGGAAAGTAGCCTTCTTCGCCGGAACGCAAAATCATCACAATCTTTTCCATTTCGCGTGCGTTTTCACATTTTTCCACATAACCAAAATCCAAATTGCTTATTGGTATGTTATATTTCTGCAACAGAGATTTGCCTTTCTCCATGATTATTTAATTTTTGGCACTCTAGAAATATAATGCAGTTAAGTTATTAAATTTGTTGTGATGTATGTTTCTCTGCTAGTATTGATTAAATAAATTTTGTACATCATTTTTCCTTGCTTGACGACGGATTTGTTTAGTATTGTTTTCAGTTACATTTAAACGATAAAATACCAAAAATAATTGTAGTCATTTATTAGTACCAACTATAATGCTACCCAACCATCAGCTTACAACACTGAATAACACCAAAAACAAGAAAACTATGTTTTGGCAAACATTTCCCATCGCGGTTCTATGGTGTAATGGTTAGCACTCTGGACTTTGAATCCAGCGATCCGAGTTCAAATCTCGGTAGAACCTGTTAATAAATATTTTTTTCCATTTTTTTTTTTGTAAATATTTAAGTACTAAAATTTAAAAATTCTTCAGTATAATTTGATTCTAACAATTAATGACATCCAGAATTGTATTTCTTAAAAAGTTTTTTCTACCATTGCCAACATACCTGACACTTGGAACTTATTTTAATAAGTTCAGCCATGACAACACGGTTCTATGGTGTAATGGTTAGCACTCTGGACTTTGAATCCAGCGATCCGAGTTCAAATCTCGGTAGAACCTTTCGATAAATTTTTTCTTAAAAATTTTTTATTTTATTTTTAATTATACATAGAGGTGTCCAACAATTTATGTTAAATATTTAATACAAAATAAAAATTAAGAAAAAAAAGAAAAAGTTTACTCTCGCCCAACGTGGGGCTCGAACCCACGACCCTGAGATTAAGAGTCTCATGCTCTACCGACTGAGCTAGCCGGGCAGTTGCTGTACATATGACAGATAATTTAAAAGAATAGCATCTTCGGTCAATTTCCACCACATAACAATCGCACCTTTTCCGCTTTAGGCAAAAATATTTAATTCAGTTTTAAAAACTAAAATGTCTGTATTAATAGACTATTTATTTTACATTATTTAATAATTGAAACTTGTAATTGTATTTGAGTTGATTTCAAAGATAATTTAAAATTATTCGCTTAGTACAACGTTGCGAACTCTTCAACTATCCCCTTAATAATATTCCAAATTTATTTTAAGAATATATATGCAATGGTTGCCTTAGAGCTACTA